GAAATGTTGTTTCATGACACGTGCTTTGAAGTTGCTATTGTACTTTGAAGGTAAGAGATACTAGACATAACAATGGCAATAATCCCTAATTTTTTTTTCATTCTGCAGAAAAAAGGGATGCATGTGCTACTGGACTATATGCAGTCATTTGATTCTTGGGGGGTCAGTATATATCATTGGTGGCAAAAGGAATCTGAGGTCACGACTGTTATGTAGCTTCTGCTGTCCTCCTGTGACAAATGTGGCATTTGTAATGCATATCCGGTGTCCAATGTATGAAAAGTGTGTTCTTGTTGTCCATAACCACCAATCAAAATGTTATTTCTGCAGTCCAAATAAAATATTCACTCTTTTGATACAGCACCCCAAATTGCTTATAGCATTTTCTTTGCTTTTTTTCAAAGTTATCAGAATTTGCCCATTGCTATAGTGGCTTGTTTACTGTTGCTTACTGGTTTGATTTCTAGCTCCTTATTTTTCTTATTGATATTGCCTGAAAAAGAGGGCAGCATGCTTGAAACCTTGTACTACAATCTATTAACTAGCCAATAAATGGCATCACCCTAGATTCAATCTTCTTTTTTTTTTTTTTACTGGGCAAGGCTTAAAGTATAAATAAAGGCAAAACTTTTTTTTTTCTATTTTGGATAGAGTAATAGAGGGTTAGGAGTGCAGAGATTGTACAATCATATTATAACATATATTGCTGTACTTAGAAATGTGTGAGCTCCTAAATTCTACTATACAGCCCCTCACATTTATACTTGTTAGTGTGAACACAATTTCTTTTTTTTTTTTTCCATTTTTATGTGTGATGGAAATGTGTTTTGATTTTTGTCATCTAGTCTTTAGCCTGGGTTCACACTGATGCGGTGTGGAATTTGCAGCGGTTTCTGTGCGAATTCTGTACCGCATCACAATTGCACCCGGTTCATGTGAACCGCTGCGGGTGTGTATGTTAAGTTAACAACACCCCGAAATCAGTCTGCAAAACGCGGTTCGATGCACAGAATCGGATCGCATAGGTGTGAATACCCATTTGATCCGATTCTAGAGTGGACCCAAAAAAGGGTCCTGCACCTTTCTGGTGTGGATGCGGTGCAATTTGAGCCATAAAAAATGTATGGCTCAAATCACACTGCAGAGAATTCGTATGTGATTTGCACCGGAATGCAGTGCAGTTCCTGTGTGAATCATATGTGATATGTTGCATCGCACAAGTGTGAACCCAGGCTCAATGTTTCTTTGTAAGTGAGCCCTACTTAGTTTTATGAGTGTGATCTCAGGTTGTTTAACCGCTTCCCCACCGCCCTATAGCACAAATACTGCTACAGGGCAGCAGGGCAGCGCAGAATCACGTATATACAGGGGCGGACTGACCATTTGGAAACTCGGGCACTGCCCGAGGGCACGGGGTCAGTAGGGGGCCCCATGAGATGCCCCTGGTACCTTTTTCATAGGCTTTTTTGAGTTTGGTCAAGCACACAGGGGCCCCATGATCCCCTATTGCCCAGGGGCTCCATGAGTTGTCAGTCCGCCCCTGCATATATATACATGATTTTGTATTTCCGGGTAGGGGTGTGCAAGCACCCTACCCGCGCCGTCATTGACAGCTACAGCTGTCAATCACCAGGTCCCTGCCAGCACCCAGTGATCACCGACTATCACTGACAGGGGAGAGATCTGTATGTAATTAATACAGATCTCTTCCCTGTCAGCTCCAATATGGTGCTTTCTATTAATAATTAATAATACAAAGCATTGTGCTTACACAGTAAAACACACACAGCACACAGTTAACCCTTTGATCACCCCAGATGTTAACCCCTTCCTGCCCCCAGTATCATTAGTACAGTGTCAGTGCTTTTTATTAGCACTGATCACTGTATTAGTATCACTGATGTCAGTGACAGTTAGTCAGTCACCCCCCCAGTGTCTAAATGCCCGCTGCAGTCCTGCAGTCCCACAGTTCCACTATAAGTCACTGATCGCCGCCATTACTAGTATAAAAAAAATCCCAGTATATATACCGCCATTTGCAGATGCTATAATTTTTACGTAAACCAATTAATTTACACGTATTGGGATTTTTTTTTTAGCAAAGACATGTAGCAGAATACATTTTGGCCTAAATTTATGAAAAAATTTTATTTTTTAAATTTTTTTACTGGACGTGTTTAATAGCAAAAAGTCAAAAATATTGTTTTTTTTTTTTTTCAAAATTGTTGTCTTTTTTTTGTTTATAACGCAAAAAAATAAAAAAACGCAGAGGCAATCAAATAACACCAAAAGAAAGCTCCATTTGTGGGGAAAAAAAGACATACATTTAATTTATGTACAGCATTTGCATGACTGTGCAATTGTCAGTTAAAGTAACACAGCACTGTATTGCAAATAATGGTCTGGTCAGGAAGGGGGGTAAATCCTCTGGAGGGCAAGTGGTTAATGGTCGTTGCTGTCCACAGTGCTGATTTCTATATAAACAGGTCTTGTAGAGCCATGTTTGATTGGAGAGAGGGAAATTGCTATCCTTTTACAACCTGCTATTACCCAATGATGAACAAGATATGTGATGCTCACATTACACAGCAACGCAACAATTATTACGTAAACCATAAGAGTGGTAGATTACTGAAAATGCATTAGTCCTTATAAGCAGACAAAGCAGTGATAAGTCAGGCTGAATAAATACAACGGATCTGGGAGCACAGAGCTCACAGTAAAGGGTTCTTATTTCAATGAGACTCTTCCGTTTCACAGCTTTCTAGCACTTGTGATATTCTAATTTAGGAGAATGAAGCAACTAACTTTGTATATTTATGGTCAACTGCTCGGTATTAATGGTTCAGATTTTGCTTGTTTGAACTATGGCCTTGGTGGATTATTGTGTCTACATGAACATCCAGTATTTCACTATAGATTACTAATATTATTATATAGGATTTATATAGCGCCAACAGTTTGCTCAGCGCTTTACAATATAACGGGAGAGAATACAGCAACAATACAGTTCAATACAAGAGGGTTAGAAGGGTCCTGCTCCTTGGAGCTTACAATCTATTAACAGCTGTATACAGTCGATTGTGATAACAAAATCTAAACATTACATCAGCAATCTTAGACATAACTGAGCAATATCAGCATTTTAGGATTATGTGAACCCAATCACCAAAATGTCATGAAAGCTAATACCTGGTGATTCTTACATGCGGAATCTTGTTCGGGCAAATAGTAAGCTGGCATAGTCTACTGTTGTCACCATCAGAAAACCCCTCTAAGAAATGCCAAGTAGCCATCACTGGAGTACATGCATGTAGACAGCATTTGGCTGCAATGAAATGCGATTTAAACTGAAAGGAGGAGAAATGATTACCTTATTAAAAATATATTAATTGATCTCAGACCAGAACAAAAAATGGTATTATTGAAATTAATTCAAATGCTTCTTCATGTACAATTAAATGCTTTAAACAACCAGGTCCTCGACACAAAGGCAAGGACCCCTTTTCTGACTTGCATCTGATCAGAGGTGATCCGCTTCTGACCTTTGACCAAGTAGACTTTGTGATGGGACACAGCCCTCCTCCCTGTCTCCCCCCCCCCCCCCCCCATTTTTATTTCTCTTTTTCCCTCCCTACAGTTTGAACTCCCTCGGGTTGACAACAGTGTTCTTTTTCTTTCCTTTTTTTAGGACCCTGTTTCTTCCCAACACCAAGATATTTTCTCGGACACTCTTTGATCCCTTATTTTTTTTTAATTTGGGTATCATCACTAAACATAAAAATTCTAATGATATTTTTCTATGTTTGACTTACATACAAACAGTCCTCTGTGATACATTGTTATTGTTAATTCTGGAGCAGGGGTGGAGTGACCATTCGAGCACTGGGGCACTGCCCAAGGGCCTGGAGTCAGTAGGGGCCCCCTTGAGATGCCCCTGGTACCTTTCATAGACTTTTTTGGGTGTGGTTTGAGTGTGTATGAGGACACATGGGCCCCAGGAACAAGGCCTTAGCAAGCTAAACTAATTTAGTTAGGATTAACACCTACTTTAACCACCTCCCAATTGGTCACCAGAGTAAAACAGCTGATAGGGGAGTTATTACTCTGAATAGACATTTAGAATTACCCCTCTGTTTACAGTGTGTGTGTCATTAACCGCTTCCATGCTGCCCTATAGCAGAAATACTGTTACAGGGTGGCACGGGTGCGCAAAATCACGTATATATACATGATTTTGTAGTTCCGCGTAGGGGGCGTGCTGCGCACGCGCCCTACCTACGCCGCCATTCGCGGCCTCAGCTGTCAACCACCGGGTCATGACCGGTTATTCCCCGCCGGCACCCGGTGATCTTCTGATATGGGAGAGACCTGTATGTAAACAATACGGATCTCTCCCCTGTCAGCTCCTACACACTGCTTGCCACAGTCCCGCTATAAGTCGATGATCACCACCATTACTAGTGAAAAAAAAAATTCCAGTATCTATACCGCCATTTGTATACGTTATAACTTTCAGGTAAACCAATAAATTTACAGGTATTGGGATATTTTATAGCAAAGACATGTAACAGAATAAGTTTTGGCCTAAATTTATGATGAAATTTGATTTAAAAAATTTTTTACTGGACATGTTTAATAGCAAAATGTCAAAACTATAGCTTTCTTTTTTTTCCAAAATTGTCAGGTTTTTTTGTTTATAGCGCAAAAAAATAAAAACTGCACAGCGATCAAATACCACCGAAAAAAAGCTCTATGTGTGGGAAAAAAAGGATGTAAATTTAATTTGGGTGCAGTGTTGCATGATCTCGCAATTGTCAGTTAAAGTAACGCAGCGCTATATCGCAAAAAAAATGGCCTGGTCAGGAAGGGGGATAAATCCTCTGGAGAGCAAGTGGTTAAACAACACAACACAGATCACAGGCAAAATTACAAGAGCTTGTCAGAGTGGCTCTGTGCCGTGTGATCACTGTGAACTAATCACAAGTGTGATCACTGTAGTAAACTCTCCCTTTCCTCCTGCTGATTACATCTAGCATATACTGGTGCGTGTATTTTGTAACATTGAGTACTAAGCAGGGGCGGACTGACCATTTGGAAACTCGGGCACTGCCCGAGGGCCCGGGGTCAGTATGGGGCCCCATGAGATGCCCCTGGTACCTTTTTTCATAGGCTTTTTTGAGTTTGGGCAAGGACACAGGGGCCCCATGATCCCCTATTGCCCGGGGGCCCCATGAGTTGTCAGTCCGCCCCTGGTACTAAGATGCAATAATGATGAACATTTTCACTTTTTGAATGATATATTGTAGGTGTAGTCATCAAGGCAGCCATATTTGTGTTGTCACAACATGATTGAAGCATTTGCCCATGCTATTTCATTAATATTGATATTCTCTGTGGTCGTATTTTATATAGTTTTTTTGGCATTGACACTGATACCTGCTTATTCACTCTTTATCTAAATAATATGTAACTATTGATTTAGATTTGGATTTCAAATATATATATATATAGAAATATAATAGTTTGTAAACTTTGTAACTTCCAAACAGACTAAATGTTATATATTTTTTTGTTGTTGCTTTCTTACCAAATACATTTTGGTCTAAATTGGGTATCTCTAAACTATGAGCTGCTGCAAGATTTTATCTGGTCCACAGCAATACTGCGCCCATTTGTGTCTCGTAATAGGGAGACTGGCACATCCACTGCCAAAGAGCCATGACCATCCCACCATTCCCAGTGCAGATCCCTCCCCCTGCTGTGGCTAGTTTCTAGGACTGTCATTGTCCTAGTAACCAATGTGCCCAGCCCCTAGCATTTACAGTGGTACCAGACGTTCTCCATCCAAATCTACTACAACTGAAAGGTAAGAGGCCACACATAAATGTAAGGGAGGGCTCTGCTGGGCATTCCTAAATGTAAAGGGGGACTCTGGTGGGCACTCCTAGATTTAAAAGGGAACTCTGGTGGACATTCCTGGTGGTGGGCACTGGTGGATGTAAGAGGGGACTGTGATGGGCATTGCTAGATGTAAAGGGGGACTGTGGTATGCACTGGTGGATGTAAGGGGGGACTGTGGTGGGCACTGCTAGATGTAAAGAGGGACTGTGGTGGGCAATCCTGGATGTAAGGGAGGACTCTGCTGTGCACTGCTGGGTGTAAGGAGGGACTGTGGTGGGCATCCTAGATGTAAAAATGGTCTCTGGTGGGCACTCTTTAATGTAAATGGGAAACTCATTCATTTAAATTTTATGCATTCAAAACTGATTTTTTTGCAGGCCACAAATATTTGTAAAATATACAATGTGGCCCTCTACTGAAAAGGGACCCCTGGTCTAAATTTACTAAGAAAGAGACTATTTATTTGATATATTTTATAACATAAAGTAATTACGGTATATGAAATTCCTTTGGGTACACTACTTATAATTGAGTAATTGTCAGTCAAGCTATTATAGTACTGAAAACCAGAAAATATCCTGGAAAGGGAGGGATGTGACATGTTCCTACTGCGGAGGGTAATGCCATTAGCAACGTCTTTATTTTTCTGCCCTGCTGTTTATTGCCAAATACAATTTCAACTGTTTGGTTATTTCTGTTCAAGTGCATAGGTGCAAAAATAGTTGTTGGTCCTGCCAGAAATCTTATGAGCTGATAACTTCCTGTTTTCTCTCACTCTGCTTACTGTGTTCAGTTGACATTGTTCCCAGCTTTCTCTGAGGACTACAGAACCTCTCCCTCTATGTTATGAACTCGAGGAGCGGGGAAGATATCCTGTAGTCCTAAAACACTTCTATTGTTGGCTGACAATACTACTCCTCCATAGATATAGCATGTTATAGCATTGTCACTCTAGGACAGTAAGTGTTTTACTAACCCGGTAGAAATACAGGAATACAGCTGAAAATGAATGCAGCCACCTCATCTAAGGACTGGTAAGCTGCAACATAATACATTTTGTTGTTTGGATTTAGATATACTTCAAACTTTTGATTGTGCAGTAACAGTATATACAATGACTAAACCCAGGTCATTATGTGTTATAGATATATCTTCCATATAGGCATAACTAAAAGTCACAGGGTTGTGAAGTCAAGTCTGTAAAAAGTGTGCATGGCATTTGCTGTGGAAGGCTTTGGGGGTCCTTTTTAGCTCCTTAGCTTCTTATTTTTAAATAAGCCTTCTAGAGGATGAAACTGAGGATAAATGTTTCTTTTCAATGTATAATAGAAAGTGGGAACACAGCTGGTAAATAAGAGACAGTAGCTGCTACTCATGGTTTCCATGACCTCATGGGCACTCTGACAGCTGCATTGGCTGTGACCCCTATAGTTATCCTGTAGGCAAACTTAAGATGAATGTGGTTTGTGTAGTGTGTTTAAAAAATGATATGTGATGCATTGCTGGAGTGGATCAAGCAAGTGCATCTGCCCTGAGGATAAATGGTACCAAAGGTGAAATGAATAAAGCACCTCAACAAGTGAATGTTGTTGTGAATGTTTTTTTTTTTATATAATCTGCATGCTTACTGTTCAGTATTAATGGCATACTGTACTGTTTTGGTAGATATCACTGTAGATCTTGATTAAGATACCTATTAGCTTCTTAAAGTGCACCTGTGCCCAAACTATGGACATTAAAATGTTCTTAACAACATTGTTTCAAGAGCTTTTGAACAATCCATCCGCAACCTCTCTAGCTGCTTGTACTGTGAATTCATTCATTCCCAAAGATCCTCGAAAGATCACATCAAAGACTCTGAAGTTGAGTATCAGTCTGTTTCTAACAGTTTAGAACTACATGCTGTAAAGTTGTGATTTCAGAGTCTATGTAGTGAGCTTTGAAGAATAATTTCTCAAAATGGCTATAGCTACAGAGGTAAATGAGGACCTGTTTCAAGTGCTTTAAATGCTTGTTCAAAACAAAAGGACAGTAGCATGGGTTCTGATTAAAATATAGTTTCAATTATTCCATAAGCTCAAAATGAGCATACATGAGTAGAGGGCATTCTGAGCACAGCACCTAGTGAAGCTATAAATGGGAGCGGTGTAGGTGCTGGCTCAGGGGTGGACTAACAACTCATCAGGCCCCCGGGCAATAAGGGATCATGGGGCCCCTGTGTCCTTGCCCAAACTCAAAAAAGCCTATGAAAAAGGTACCAGGGTCATCTCATGGGGCCCCCTACTGACCCCGGGCCCTCGGGCAGTTCCCGAGTTTCCAAATGGTCAGTCTGCCCCTGTGACCGGCTCAGAGGAACGGACTGTGTATATGTTAGGAGTGGCACCAGCTGCTGTTGTAACTGCTTGTGGTTAGGCGTGCATCAAAAGATGGAGCAGTGGAATAAATGAAACGATATTTTAATCAGATCCCACACTCGCACAAGCACTGATAAGCCCAGGTCATGTGAGGAACTGAAGGAACCTACAGTCCACATGCCTATCTACTACCTCTAACTGGGACTGTAAGTTGATGCTCTGCTGTGAATTGTTCTTGGTTTGTTTATTGGATTAAATGCTTGTTCAGAATGTGTTAATACTTTAGTGTGCATTGCAGGGACTGAGCGAGAATAAACAGTGTATGCCCAGCTGTACTGAAGTTTGGCTTTACGAAACTTTGGCCTAAGTCCAAGTTGTGGCCAATTCCTTGTCCAATGAAAGTGATCTTATTGGACAGGGAGGGGTTGGTTGCCAAGTTGTTGTCAAGAAGTAAGGAAAGGGAGGCACAATAAAAAAAAGAGGGCTTTCTGGCTGATACAGGTAATAGTAGAGAGCTAACCACAGGAACCTTGCAGTAATATTACATTAATAGTTTAAACATATTGAACAAAATATATTAAATATTCTCCAGTAGACTATTTGTTAAAATCCTTCCAATGGTGCTGGTTTCTGTCCTCTCAGTGCTGCTTCCCTGAACTTTAGGGTTTTACAGGAAATAATTACTACTGGCCAGTGCAGTCTCTAAAGGTTAAACTTAAAGGGGAGTTCCATTCACACTGTAAAAAAACATAAATCAGCAGCTACCAAAACTGTAGCTGCTGACTTTTAAAAAACAGCCATTCACCTACACTGCACTTCCTGAATGGCTCCGTCATATTCTGGGACCTGTCACGTGTCCCACAAGACTTCGGGAGGGGAGCGTAAGAGGACAACTCCCGCTTCCGATCACCTAGGCGATCGCAGCGGAAGTGGGAGCGGGTACCTGTCAATTTCAGGTACCCGCTCCCCAAAGGTGCCAATCCTTAATGGGGAGCGGGGGACCAGTCTTTAAAGAGGAACTTCCCCTTTTGGGTGGAACTCCGATTTAAGGTTTAATATCACTTTAGTGTTAAAAAAGTTGAAGACGTTGAACAGCTTATACACCCATTTCTAGATTCAGGCTCATACCCTACTAATTAACCACAATCTAGCTAAACACCATACATAGCTAGGAACTTTTATATCTGATTTTCTGTAAAATATCAGTGCTATGGATGTCAACAAGCTCTATGGATACAGATTTCCCCATTGGCACAGCCATATGGGGACTGGAGTACTGACCTGCGTTCTGTTTTAGTAATGTGAGAGCAAAGTTGCAATAGTTCTTGTAGGAGTCTGTAGACTTTGTCTCTCACTCTTAATAGATAATGAGGTGGTAAAGATTTTGTTTCATTAGTTCAGAAAATACAGTAGATGGTTATTTTAAAAGCATTCAAATACTCATTGTGCAATTAAAATTAAATGCATGCCAAAAAAGGGATCACTTCATTTTAAAATGCTTATGTAATACATGGCAGGGAACTGGAGCCTTAGAAGAACAATGAAACATAAAATATATCTGTCTCAATGGTTGAGACAACAATTCAAACACCAACCAGGTCTTTCTCATCGTGACGCAAAGACATTTAGCCTGGGTTCACATATATGCGGTGCGGTATATCTCATGTGATATTCACAGGAACCGCACTGCATTCCTGTGCAGATCACATGCGATTTGTGTGCAGTGCAATTGGAGCCATACATTTTATATGGTTCTAATCGCACTGCACCTGCAACAAAAAGGTGCAAGACCCTTTTTTAGGTCCGCACTAGAATCGGATCGCATGGGTAGTCACACCTATGCGATCCGATTCTGCACATCGCACCGTGTTTTGCGGACCACTTTCAGGGTATTGTTAACTTAACATACACACCTTCAGCGGTTCGAATGAGTGGGGTGCGATTCTGATGCGGTGCGGAATTCGCACAGAAAATGCTGCAAATTTCACACAGCATCAGTGTGAACCAGGGCTTACAGTCTTACCCTATAAACCTTTATCTGATCTTGATGACCTTGCCTAAGAATGTTGATTGATCTACCCCTCGACCACCTTCCATTCAGACCTATTACTTGCTAATCTTGCAACTACGGACTAAAGCAAAACAATACCCATATGTTGCAGTCTGTCATTTGCAGTAACACTAAAAAACATTTTATCACCTATTGATGCTACAGAGCCCTTCATTTATCACATCCTGTAACAGGGTGAAATGTAGTCTAAAATGTACATATATTTTTGGAATGGCTTTAGGTAATTAACAAAGAAATTAAAGCCCGACTCCAGCTAACATATTTTAGGCAGTTTCAGGAACAATCCTTTTTCTTTTGAAAAAAAAAAAAAAAAAGTTGTTAAACCCTTTGATTGAAAGCTGGCATCCCTGCTAGTATTATACTTTTTTCACAACAGGTACGGATGGTGGGCAGCTTGGCCTACATGTAAACCAGAAAAAAAATAATTAAAGAAATGCAAAATAAAAAAGTAATTCATATTCTGAATATTATCATTATAGGTTACCAAAAGCAAGCGTTTTCCCTGCAGTGGTCCTTCAAGTTAACAACTTCAAACTGTTGGTGCTGAATCATGCTACTGGAAAGAGAGATGAGCTCATCACTGTGCTGCTTCTCCTTAAAGTGGAGTTCCACCCAAAAGGGGAAATTTCGCTTTAAGCCTTTGTCCCCCACTCCCCATTGGGATTGGCACCTTTGGGGATCAGGTACCCGAATTTGACAGGTACCCGCTCCCACTTCCTAGGCAATCAGAAGCGGAAGTTGTCCTCCCCCCTCCTTCCCCGTAGTCATCTGGGACATGTGACAGGTCCCAAAACACTACGGGGCCATTCACAAAGCGCAGCACTTTTTGCGCATTCGCAGTGGGCACCCGGCTGTGAAGCCACAAGCTGTCACAGCTGGGTGCCCACACTGAAGATGCCGTGTCAGGGAGAGAAGATGGCTGGTGAAACCAACGGTGGTGATGACATCGTTGGACTGAGGGACAGGTAAGTGTCTGTATTTTAAAAGTCAGCAGCTACAGTTTTTGTAGCTGCTGACTTTTATTTTTTTTTTTCAGGTGGAACTCCGCTTTAAGTGTCCAGTCATATGGTGAGGGCAGATCCATGACAGACTGGGCTTAGAGAAAGAGGAGTAAAGAGGAATGTCAGTCCCCTTTTATGTGGCTCTGCCCCTCCATTTTGGTTGGTTCACAGACATCCTGAAGGTCTCTGCCCTGCCTTGGGGTCCTGAAAGAGCCGTTTGGCACATCTGCACATGTGCAGAGGATTGTGTGTGCATGTACAAAGAAGGTGAAGTATTGGAGCTTCTGTAATAGCTTCTTTGCACATGCACGGTAGAAGGCACATGTGATGAAGATGTGCTGCATAACCCGGGTGTGCGCAGATATACCACAGGGCTTGGGACCTGAAGCACTGCGGCACATCTGTGCATCGGCAAAATCTGTGCAAAAAAATAATTTAAATTAAAAAAAAAGAAGAAATGATATATCCAGTTTAGAGGAGTCAGGACAAAAGAGAGTTTAGGGTGCAGGTCTGCTATAATTTATGCTGATCTTCATTCATCCTAGAGGACTCAGGGCATATAGTGGCAGATATGAAGTACTGCAAGAGACAGCACTGGAATGAAGGTGAGTATTGCAACAAATGCTGCTTTTAATTTTTTTTTATTTAAGGGGGCTTTTCATTTTTTTTTTTTGACCAGAGTCCTGCTTTAAACTGGATGAGGACCATGCTATTTGATAAATACAGAGTTGTCCTTTAAAAGTTATATCTTCAGCTGCTTTTTCTTCTTTTCTTCACTTCTGATTGTGGCATTCAGCGATTAGCAAGTTTGCATTTTTATGCTTGCATTGATTTGGTTGGACTTTAAATGATCTCAGAAAATGCACAATAGGTGCAATCGGCGGGGGGTCTTTTCAGTCAACATTCTTCTATTCTTCTGTTGGAGAATTGCATTGCTCTGGAGCCCTTTTAGAAAATTCTCAGGAAATATTTTATTATTGTTGTTTGTTTCAAACAGAAAATGCATTTCTCTTTGCCAAAAGGAAGAAAATGATAACAAGCAGAACATCTGAAAGAAGAATAGTTACACGGCTTTTTAGAATTTAGTATCTAATGTCTTGTGTTTGTGTTGCATTGGAGAGCCGTCCACCATATAGATGTAAACCTTAACTGAAGAACATTTAGCACTGTATTTAAAAAAGCAGAAATAATAATAACCCTAATATGCCATAATACTGCTTTTAAAAAGAAACACATCTATGTAGCACAGTCATGTGCTTTACATATGTGCTTAACGGTCTGCTGACTTCAGGATTTTAAAGCCAGTGACATGCAATTAAAATGAATAGTAGTAGGGAAAGCTCTAAGGTCATACAGCCTGTCATGTCAGGTGACTAGCAAAGCTTTCTGTGTTAAGCAGAGAATACTCTGTTACAGCCTCAGGGGTTACACAGTGGCCTGCATTTTATGAATGGGCTGTAAAATGTAGGCTGTACTGCTTAGAGCTTAATCCCAGATTTCTTGGCACTTTGAATAATTCTGTGAATGAAAACACTACAAATCTCCTCTCCTGCCATGGCAGATAGACTCATAGTTCTCAATGTGTGATATCACTGCACTTACAGGGCCGGATTTCCCAATAGGTACTGTGGGTCTGTGCCTACAGGCACTCTTCCTAGATAGACGCCTGTCTGTATGAGTTGTTTGGGGTTTTTTTGACAGCTGCCCTAAGGAGTCCCGGAAATGAAGGTCTGTCATGGGCAGCTGAGTTGCTTACAGTGAACTTAGTACAGTATGTCTGGTAACAGACATAACTTGCGGCACACAGATCCCCTCCCCCCTTCCTCCAGCTCCTGGCCTCCAGAAGCTGATCAAGCGGCTCTATTGGCGAATCAATGCTTGCAGTGATTGGGCGGGACTCAGGAGGGGGTGTGGTTGCCTTGCAGGTGATCCTGCCAACCCAATGTCTGGTGCAGGTGTGACAGGTTCAGTTGGGCTGCAGACACTGTGAACAGAGCCATCCTGTCTCCAGTAGGTGCTGGGGGAGGGAAGTGAACGGAGGAGTCCGGGGACAGTCATGATCTCTCTAGGTGGAGAAGGCACAGGCAGCAGTGAGTCCCTGTCAGTGATCAGAGTGGAGGAGTCTCTGCACAGCTGTCCTGCACACAGAAGAGGGGGGAGGGGAAAGGGTGGATCACATTCACACTGAACAGGTCACTGTGTATCAGGGGCGGACTGACAGCTCATTAGGGCCCCCGGGCAATAGGGGATCATGGGGCCCCTGTGTTCTTGCCCAAACTCAAAAAAGCCTATGAAAAAGGTACCAGGGGCATCTCATGGGGCCCCTACTGACCCCGGGCCCTTGGGCAGTGCCCGAGTTTCAGAATGGTCAGTCCGCCCCTGCTGTGTACACAATGCAACATCACCCCCTCCACAGAGATGTGCAGGGGCTGTGGTCACCAGAGCACCCCCCCCCCCACACACACAGTGCAAGGGGACCTCTGTGGACCCTGATGTAAAAGGGAACTCTGATGTAAGAGGGAACACTGTGGACCCTGATGTAAAGGGATTTCTGCTGACTGTGATGTAAGGGGGGGGGGGGGGGCTTTGGCGACCAGAGATCACCTTACATCAAAGTTTCCCTTTACATCATGGTCCACAGATTCCCCCGTAAATCAGAGTTCCCCTTTACATCAGGGTCTAAAGAGGCCCCCCTTGCACTGTAAGGGGGAACCCTGCAGATGTAAGGGGAACTCTGGGGACTCTTGTGTAAGGGGGAGCGCTGGTGACCAGAGACCCCCTTACATCAGAGTTCCCCTTTATATTACAGTCCACAGTATTCCCCTTTACAGCACAGTCCACAGTGTTCCCCTTTACAGCACAGTCCACAGTGTTCCCCTTTATATCACAGTCCACAGTATGTCCCCTTTACAGCACAGTCCACGGTGTTCCCCTTTATATCACAGTCCACAGTGTTCCCCTTTATATCACAGTCCACAGTGTTCCCCTTTATATCACAGTCCACAGTATTCCCCTTTGCAGCACAGTCCACAGTGTTCCCCTTTGCAGCACAGTCCACAGTGTTCCCCTTTACAGCACAGTCCACAGTGTTCCCCTTTGCAGCACAGTCCACAGTGTTCCCCTTTACAGCATAGTCCACAGTGTTGCCCTTTATATCACAGTACAAAGTATTCTCCTTTATATCACAGTCCAAAGTATTCCCCTTTATATCACAGTCACAGTATTCCCCTTTACAGCACATTCCACAGTGTTCCCCTTTACAGCACAGTCCACAGTGTTCCCCTTTACAACACAGTCCACAGTGTTCCCCTTTATATCACAGTCCACAGTGTTCCCCTTTATATCACAGTCCACAGTATTCCCCTTTACAGCACAGTCCACAGTGTTCCCCTTTACAGCACAGTCCACAGTGTTCCCCTTTACAGCACAGTCCGCAGTATTCCTCTTTACAGCACAGTCCACAGTGTTCCCCTTTACAGCACAGTCTGCAGTGTTCCTCTTTACAGCACAGTCCGCAGTGTTCCCCTTTACAGCACAGTCCGCAGTGTTCCCCTTTACAGCACAGTCCGCACCCTTCCACAGTCCACAGTGTTCCCCTTTACAGCACAGTCTGCAGTATTCCTCTTTACAGCCCAGTGTTCCCCTTTACAGCACAGTCCACAGTGTTCCCCTTTACAGCACAGTCTGCAGTGTTCAGTCCGCAGTGTTCCCCTTTACAGCACAGTCCGCAGTGTTCCCCTTTACAGCACAGTCCGCAGTGTTCCACAGTCCGCAGTTTCCACAGTGTTCCCCTTTACAGCACAGTCCACAGTGTTCCCCTTTACAGCACAGTCCGCAGTATTCAGTGTTCCCCTTTACAGCACAGTCCACAGTGTTCCCCTTTACAGCACAGTCCACGGTGTTCCCCTTTATACACAGTCCACAGTGTTCCCCTTTATATCACAGTCCACAGTTTCCTTTATATCACAGTCCACAGTATTCCCCTTTGCAGCACAGTCCACAGTGTTCCCCTTTTGCAGTGTCCACAGTGTTCCCTTTAGCACAGTCCCCACAGTGTTCCCCTTTGCACACAGTCCACAGTGTTCCCCTTTACAGTAGTCCCCTTTATATCAGTCCAAAGTATTCTCCTTTACATCACAGTCCAAAGTATTCCCCTTTATATCACAGTCACAGTATTCCCCTGTACAGCACAGTCCACAGTGTTCCCCTTTACAGCACAGTCCACAGTGTTCCCCTTTACAACACAGTCCACAGTGTTCCCCTTTACAGCACAGTCCACAGTGTTCCCCTTTATATCACAGTCCACAGTATTCCCCTTTACATCACAGTCCACAGTGTTCCCCTTTACACAGTCCAGTGTTTCCCCTTTACAGCACAGTCCACAGTGTTCCCTTTACAGCACAGTCCACAGTGTTCCCCTTTACAGCACAGTCCACAGTGTTCCCTTTACAGCACAGTCCGCAGTGTTCCCCTTTACAGCACAGTCCACAGTGTTCCCCTTTACAGCACAGTCCGCAGTGTTCCCCTTTACAGCACAGTCCACAGTGTTCCCCTTTACAGCACAGTCCACAGTCCACAGTTACAGCACAGTCTGCAGTATTCCCTTTACAGCACAGTCCACAGTGTTCCCCTTTACAGCACAGTCCACAGTGTTCCCCTTTACAGCACAGTCCACAGTGTTCCCTTTACAGCACAGTCCACAGTGTTCCCCTTTACAGCACAGTCTGCAGTGTTCCTCTTTACAGCACAGTCCGCAGTGTTCCCCTTTACAGCACAGTCCGCAGTGTTCCCCTTTACAGCACAGTCCGCAGTATTCCCCTTTACAGCACAGTCCACAGTGTTCCCCTTTACAGCACAGTCCGCAGTATTCCTCTTTACAGCACAGTCCACAGTGTTCCCCTTTACAGCACAGTCCGCAGTATTCCTCTTTACAGCACAGTCCACAGTGTTCCCCTTTACAGCACAGTCCGCAGTATTCCTCTTTACAGCACAGTCCACAGCACAGTCCACAGTGTTCCCCTTTACAGCACAGTCCGCAGTGTTCCCCTTTACAGCACAGTCCACAGTGTTCCTCTTTACAGCACAGTCTGCAGTATTCCTCTTTACAGCACAGTCCACAGTGTTCCCATTTACATCACCATCTGCAGCATACCCCTGTACACATATAAAAATATTTATATAAAAATATTTTATAAAAAAAAAAAAGGTTAGTCTTACTGTCTTAATTTTGTTTGTTTGGTTTTTTTTTTTTTGTTGGGGGGGGGGGGGGGTACTTGAGAATTCTCTGCCTATAAGCTCCTGTGATATAACTCTGGCCCTCTGCACTTTAGTCCATTAGTACTTCCCTCCGGTCCCCTAACTGAAGGCCCATACCTTGGTACAGACCTGTGATTGAAGGAGTGATCTGCAGGGACCACTGATCACAGTTGCAATGCTTTGCAGGCTCTAATGCAAAAAAAAAAAAAATAATAATATAATAATAATAAATGTAAATTTTGTATTAATCATTATGAATGCATTTATTATTATTTTGCAAAAGCTGGATTTAAGCAGAGTCTTCATTCCCCTCTTTTTAGAACAATGTTCATAACCTAAATCTGGAGAAAGCTGTAAATTGATGAGTGTAGCTCGTTGATACGTCGATCAGGAGCTGCTGGTTTAGGCTACATTTGCATTTGATAACATCTACAGAACACTATAGATTAGACATGCAGGAAAAAATCAGTCCGGAGGGACCTGCTGCCTCTGTGTTCTGCTACTCTGCACAGTGAGATAGGAAGGGGAGGATCAGCTGTATCCAGTGTAGCATCCTGACCAGGAGTGTCTGTTCACAGATTGCTCTGTAGAGGAAGCCCTGGATAGAATGTGCTGGCTAGATGTTCGGAGGCACTGAGGAAGCACACAGCTGGATACATCAGCACAGGCAAGCCTTTTAATCGGCTCTTGAAAGACAAGACAGGCAAATCAGTAATATTCTAAAGCACGGTAGAAGGGAAATCTGCCACAATCTGACCATGTGCCTGGATCACAGTTAAAGACAGAGCAGCAGGAGCATATGAAGGGGTACCCTTGGGGCTTACCATTCACTGCACCTATGAACAGACCCTAATGTAAGTTCTTTTATTTTTTATTTTTACGTAATACTGAGTAATGAATTATTGAGTATCGATGTGTTTCAAATAAATCACTTTTTAAAATTAGATATCAGAACATTGCTTGCATTTCTGTTGATCTTTATTGATGCATTTGCAACATTATAAAATAGATAGATAGATAGATAGATAGAGATAGATAGATAAAAATAAAGAGCTTAAATCTTTTAATTAAATGAAGTGCAAGAGCACCTTCCCTTTGCTTATTTTTAGTTAACATTTAAGAACACAACTTTATATAAGGCAACTGATGAAAAGAAGGATGCAGAAGGAACAGTTTTTTTTTTTAGGGTGTGTAGAATAGAGGTTTGTAGACAGGATGGCAGGCTTTAAATAATGGATAAGTTACGCACTCGATGACTGGCATTTATAGCTCAGCTGGTGAAATATTGTTTTTTACCTTGCAGCTGTCAGGTAGTGGGTAGATCTTAAATTGAGCTGTGAGCTGCCACTAGTTACAGAGTATTATTTCATCCTCGTGACTGTTATTGATAAGTGCATTTATTTTGATGTGTCCTGTTATGTAAAGTGTGGAGTAAGATCAGAGTCATTTTGCTTTATATATGTAGATCAGTGGTTCTCAACCTTCCTAATGCCGTGACCCTTTAATACAGTTCCTCATTTTTGTTTGACCACCAACCAAAAAATTATTTACCCAGTAATTATAATTCATGAGTGTCGTTTTACCTCCAATACTGCTGCTGCTTTCAACAAAGTAGCTGCTTTTTGAGTAGCTGCTTTCAACACAGCAGCTGCTTTTCTACACAGTAGCTGCTCTTTACACATCGGAAATATGTGTTTTCTGATGTAATGGTCTTAGGGGACCCCTGTGAAAGGTCGTCGTTCGACCCCCAAAGGGGTCGTGACCCACAGGTTGAGAACCACTGTACTAGATGGTCTGTTTAACTCTTTTCTGTCATAAGACATGCATACAATATTCCATAGGGTCACTCTCGATGGGGAAAAGTAAAGTATAAATGTGGGCAAAAACCGTCTAATTCTAAAAAAAAAAAAATAAGGCTGAATTACTAAAGGAGTTGAGAATCTTCACACAATAAATTAGGTGAACATTCATTTGCATTATGCAGCCACAATTGGTATTTAAAATGAAAAGGAATTAGCTTTTGGCATGGTTGAACAATTGAAGTAAATATTACAAATTTAATGTGTGAAGCTTCTCAGCTCTTTTAGTAGTTCAGCCCAATTGCCCAAGAAAGTGTTAAGTCTGCTCCTAAAACTCAGAGTGTCATAGATATTCATTAGGAATTTTCCATCAGTGCAAAAAATGACGCAACT